GCCAGGATTACCATTCCTCCTGGAACATGGCAAATGTTCTTGTCCAAGGCATTTAACCCTCCCCGATCAACAGCGGCAGTGCTGACAAACGACCAGTTGTTCTCCAAAGTCCAATAAATAAGCACATTCATTTTTCAGCCATTTTTGATTTTTCCCTCGTTTAAAACTAACCGCACATGTATTTCTTGTATTCTATTGGTTGCTAAATATAAACTTTGGGTTAGTTTGTGGCGCTGAACAGGTAACGTGATTTTTCTAAACCGGAAGTATAGGAAAAGATAACACTTGAAGAAACTGTAAACATGCGATTTTTTGGTGGATTTCGAGGTTTTTTTAGAAGCTGAAGAAGGTAAATGTTTCATTATATATAACAATATGTTTTGTTCTGACACCACGGCAAGTTGCTGTGCAACCCGTTTTGCTAGCTGTATATTTATTATTAAAAATAACATCCGGAATAGTCCGTAAGTTCCGTATTTTAGCCAGCCTCCAGGATTTTTGTGAATCGCGTAAATCCGTTTAGATTTCTGAGGGGTATAGGTTGCCTCTTATCTCGAGTGAGAACTGTAAGAACTCTATTGCCCATTTGATTTTATAAACAGGTGATGCTTTTGTCCGTTTGACTTTCGTTAAATACAAAAAGTTTTTTTTGTGCATTATGAACAATTGTGTGCATTACGCACCTTGGGTTATGAATCAACGCTTCCTGATTGGGGTCGAAAAACAAGTTGGTGATTGTCGAATCAGGATTTTAGAAAACAAAGTGCCGGCTAGTTTGTAACTTCCGGTAAAAAAACAAACAAAAAAAAAATTCTCATCACTGAAGTTTAATGCCGCCGCGAGGCAAAATACCCAAAGACCTAGAGAAAAAAAGGAATGTTGCAAATATTTGGCGATTGGCCGTCCTTGAATGAAATTAATTTATTCCGAGGGGTATTTATGGGGATATTTGGCTACGGAAAACATGGTAAACCGGCGGCACAAATCGACCCGCACGAAATACCCAGACTATACCCAGAATAGATACACCCAAATAAAAGGCACATATAGTAATGTTCATCTTTGTTTGCCTAATATATAATTATTTTTGTAAAAATAAATTTATTTTTTATAAAATAACTTGAATAAGCCGGCTGTAACTGTCTTTCATTTACATTTTTAAGAAAATTTAACTTGTGAAAATTTGAATTTGCTGATCTAGATTCATTAATAATTGGCAATTTTTTAAGATAAGATATGATAATATTTGTTGTCTACATTTAAATTTTTAGGGTAAAATTTTGTTGTTATTTCATACAAGTGTCCATCATATTTATTTTTTTTTAATTTAATTTTATAAGGACAACTTTTTAGGGCCGGCCCGTGGCCCGATGTGGTTAAGGTCGTTGACTTCAAACCACTTGCCCCTCACCGCTGAGGGTTCGAATCCCGACAGGGACTTTGGATTCTTTCATGTGAGGAAGGGCTATTCAGCTAGCTTACGGAACGTTCCGGTGGTTCTACTCAGGTGCCCGTTCGCTGCCTGAAAATAATGCACGGAAGGGCAACCTGAGGTCTTTCCTCACCAGTAAAGCTGGAACGTTCGCCAATATGACCTTTATACTGTGTCGATGTGGACGTAAAACCCATAAACAAAAACAAAAAGCAGGTAGCCAAAAAAATCTTACAAGGTTGAGTACCAGTTACTTGTTGATATTTTGCCATGTATTAGAAAGTTTGCTAAAGCCAGAGACGGTATTTCCTTTAGCCTTGTTATTATTTGATTTTTGCCAGAGGGATTGAAATGTGTTGTTTTGGGGCTCCGTCCACTGTTAGATTTTTGGGCTTCAACGGAATGAATTCGCCATTTTTTTTACTTGCCTGCCTATTGCAGATGGGATAAATTTCTTTGTAGCATTTGCCAATCTTATGTCATATAAATTATGTTCTCAACAAAATGTGTTTTTTTTTTTCCAGGTTTTGTAGTTTTGTATCAGAATAAATAGAGGTATTTTGCTTGTAGGGACATTACGGCCTAAGAACTTGAAAAATTTAACTGTTAGAGTGCTCCCTTAAACATGTATTGAGGTGTGACAATTTCTCTGACCATGAAAATACAAAAAAAAGAGTAATTCGGACATAAATTTGGATGTAAACAATAAACTTTCAAGTTAACAGATCTGTATATCAGAACTAAAAGTACAGAAATGATGCTGATGCCGAACCCTGTTGGTTTAGATTTTCTATCAAGAGTTTGTCCCAAATAAAACTGGTTAACTTATGTCGGGTGAATGAAAAAACCCTCTGGCGCTGGAATATTCAAAAGGAAATTTTGCATCTAAAGTAAGAACCCAATGCTGTGTTCTTGCTAAGATTTGGTTTGAACAGTGTAAAAAGTTATAGAATAACACACAAGAATATTACGACAAAGGAAAATTTCTTTATTCCGAAAAGTACAAACAAATGAAAAACTGTTACCCACTGTTTTGTGCCCATGGGATAGTGTGATATTAGCTATTATCATAATTTCATAGAAAATATTGTGGATGAGAAGTTGTTTGCTGTTGGGGACATTATATGTACAATAACAGAATCAAGTACATCCTTTTTTGTGATGTTTGGATTACCATCTCAGATGATTGATAAGAATGAAAAACTGAAGAGGATGTTCATGTTGTTTCTAATAGATAAATAAATTGAAGAAGTGTTTGTTAATTCAAACTGAAAATACATTTTTTTAAGTTAGTTGTGTTCCAAATTTGTTCAAGTGACTTGCGTATTTTAGATTGCATCATTTGATTTGAATCGGCAGTTTGAGACAGTAAATTTATATAAGTCTAATATTACAAAATACAACTTTTAATGTGACATTTAGTGTTAAATATTATAGGCACAATCCCTTGTCGGTAGTTTGATTTACGGGTCACTTCTTCAAATCTGTCTTTTCATAATAGATACTAAATCTGATATGTTAACTAAAAAGTATGATTTCGGGCATACAAAGATAAAATTCAGATTCTTTTCATAGGTGTTTCAATTTCATGAAAATATTTTTACTATTCCAAGATATTTATCCTTTGTTTTTGATAAATTTTTTCAAAGTTTAAGTAGTATTTTCAGTAACTCTTGTCTGCCAAAAATGGTGGATGGCGAGTTTGAGCTCTGCTTTGCAACCAGAACCTTCATATGAAAAAATTGGTAATTTTTAACCTGAGTTTTTTTTTTACTTGCGCCAAACAGCGTCCTGTATGGAATATTTTTTTTTTGTCTGTTGTACATGTACATGTATATTTTGTAACTGGTAGGAACATAATTGCATGTGATTTTTGTACCTAAACTTTTAAGCTTACCTAGTAATTTAGCTTTTATGGCTACAGTTTTAAAAAGTAATATATCCCACTATCAATTTATGCCTCATATTTTGGTACATAATCCCCGGCTTCTGAAATTAAGATCCCACCTTAATTTACCATTTTAATTAATTTTGCTACATTTACTTCTTCCCAGTGCCCTTTGATGCTTTATATCAAATCTTATCTTGTATTCCGATAAATGCTGTAAAAAACTGTTGAAAATGGGGGCCAATATGTTTAACCTCCATTTGTGACCTGGCAGATGGATTCTAGGATTATTAACCCAAGGAGATGCTGAATGATGAATCATGCTCTGAGCTGTCTAAAAATTTTGTTATATTCAAAATTTCAGTCATGTTTAAACATGTTTGCTTTCCTATAAAAAAAATTGTAAAACAAAACAACTGAAACTATTCTTTTTATCAGTGTTTTTCACAGAAAGTAAAATCCTGTTGTAAGATGTAATTTAAAAAATGCTTATTTGTTAAAAAAATATTGACTTGGAATTTATCATGTTCAGTCATGTTTGATCATGGTATGACTATGTTATTCTCTTAGTAATAAATTGGTCAATGTGTCAGTAATTATTAAAGCGTTTAAGGCTATTTTTACACAAAGTTGAAATGTATGGCTACTTTTTTATCCAAAAGAATAACTGATTTGATGAAAGTAACAAGAAAAAAGAGAGATTTGTTTGATTTTTTTTTTTTATAAATTTATCATGTTTATTCATGATTGAATATGTTGATTTCTTGTAAGATTGTTTGCAGAAAAAAAAACAATGTTTATGATTTTTACCTCTCCCTGAAAGTCATTATAATATTAGTTGAAATAAATACAGATGTTTTATTGAACAAATTGTAATTTTCATCCACAATCATGTTTGATGGTCAAACATGTTTATAAGACATGATTGACTAACATGGTCAATGAAGAAAAAAACATGTTTGTACACATCTTATCATGTTTAATCATATAACATGATTTCTTTTTCGCTAGGGTATCTATCATTTAAAAACATATTCATACAGCTAATCAAGCTTACATCAAATGGTTTACATAAAAGATACACAGTTTAACCTACGACTTCTTTCTATCTTTCATATTTCACGGTTGTCATATTTGATATTTCTCAACCGATTTAACACAAATACAGAGATTTTTGTGTCAATAATATTTTGAAGTTTTCAATTATAGAATAACATGCAACCCCGTGATTACAGTTATCACTGCGGGCATATTAATAAATTTATTTTACAGACAGTTATCATTAAAAAAAAATATATTTGGTTACTTGAATTGTAAAAATCAGCAAGGCATTAAGTATTTAAGTTTTTAGCATTTTTGAAATTAATATTCTTTTTCTCAAAATATCTAATGATAATATAATCACTATGAAGGAGTTGTTAAACATTTACCCTAGTGTAGTAATCTAGTGGACTTGTCGTACTGTCCATTGATGATATCAGGGATTATGGGAAGTTTTAAATTGGGCATCAAAAATTTGACAATCCATTCTGTTTTGTACTGTTAAGAATAAATACCAACAATTGTTACACAGTTCATAGTTTTAAGAGAACATTGCTGTTTCTTGTTTGTTCATTATGGTACAGCATCAAAGGTATATAATCTGTTGTTAATAGATTATTTATTATTATATATTTATAGTTCCTGTATTCCCAGAAGAAACTGTTGAAAGCACAGAAAATCTTGATACACCAGATGATATAGTGGAGAATGGTGAAGATATACACATGAACAGACACAGCCCTCAAGGTATGTCATGACATGACAAAACTCATTGTATTAATATATTATAACCCAGTATGATGCTACTGACCTTGACCTCTGTAAGGTCAAGTCTGTTGATATGTTGTTACCTGTCATCAGTAAGGTCAAGGCTGTTGATGTGTTGTCACTGGCAACTGTAAGGCCAAGGCTGTTGATACTGTTGTCATTAGCAACTGTAGGGTCAAACTGTTGATAAGTGTTGTTACTGGCAACTGTAATGTCAAGGCAGTTAATATGTTTTCACTGGCAACATAGATTGATGTATTGTCACTGGCAACTAAGGTCAAGGCTGATGATGTGTTGTCAATGAAAACTGTAAGGTCAAGGCTGATGATGTATTGTCACTGGCAACTGTAAGGTCAAGGCTGATGATGTATTGTCACTGGCAACTGTAAGGTCAAGGCTGATGATGTATTGTCACTGGCAACTGTAAGGTCAAGGCAGTTGATATGTTGTCACTGGCAACTGTAAGGTCAAGGTTGATGATGTATTGTCACATGCAACTGTAAGGTCAAGGCAGTTGATATGTTGTCACTGGCAACAGAGATTGATGTATTGTCACTGGCAACTGTAAGGTCAAGGCTGATGATGTGTTGTCACTGGCAACTGTAAGGTCAAGGCTGATGATATGCTGTCACATGCAATTTGAAGATCAAGACTGTTGATATATCATACTTAGCAGCTATTATAAGGTCAAGGATGCAACATTTTGTCATTGACAAATGTGAAGTAAATTCTGCTGATTTGGTGTTATTAGCAACTATAAGGTCAAGGCTGCTGATACGTTATCTTTTGCATATTTGCAGCTAGAGCCACATCAAAAATACATTTCATCTAAGTAATATGCTAAAGCTGATACTGTCCACCATATTTGTCAATCTTAGAAGTGTGCTTTGATTTCAGACTTTGTTTTTGTTTGTTTGATCAAAAGTGTTCCAATAAAAAGCTTGTTGAAAATGTCTTTGACACAGATTGTAAAATACTAATGAACAGTTTAATCACTTGTCAAAATATTTAATATAAGTTTATGAAATATATGGAAGGTAAGGTATAACAGCTTCTTTAAAGAAAGTAACCACTATATGACATGTAACAGTAAAAAAGATATTTTACTCATTATTTATGTGTGCATAATAAGAATTACCCAGGGGGCATAGGGAAACATTGACTCATCACATCCTGTGTTGCTGAGCATGTCGCAATGTGCCGTTCAGAATCTCGAAAACCGCGATTAAATAAAATCTCTTCTGGCTAAATTTTAATATGATATACTGAAAGTTAAAAAAACTCATTAGCTTGAATGATTGATAAATATATCACTTACATTTGAATTCTTATCGTCATATGTGGAAAGTTATTAAAATCGTTCTATTTATGGTAGGTGCAAATCTAGAGTGATTACGGTATCAGAAGAAAAATTCTGCAAAAAGTTCTCAGAAATAATTAAATAATACAGTGACTTTCCGAGTTTTAATTATACTCACTTGATATTGAAATATATTTTACGAGGTTTTCCGAGATAAAAAAATATGATATTCTCATATTTGATAACTCGCATATTGCTTGATGAATTTAATATAAAGAGAATATTTTATGAGTCGATTATGTGAAAATATCATATCACTGTGTGAGTTTTTTTCTAATCTAAAAGGAAGGTTTATTGGCGTTATAATAGTTAGTTTAATTAAGAGATGAGATTTATTAAATATTAATTCACCAGATGATTTTCTGATATTGAACAAATGTGCAGAAAATTATAACATGCAATATAAAAGTGAGTTATCACAAGGGAGGAAATTTCCTAAGTAATAGGAACCTGGCTGTAAATAAAGTAGACACTTTCCCTGAATTTATGTCTTAATTATATATAAATGGCATTTATTAAATAAAATGATAAATATTCCTCACGGCAATAATAATATTGAAGATAAAGAATGAAATCAAGTGAAAGATGGGGCCATTCTTTTTGAGTGGCAAGGCTATAAAATTTCTGTATATTATCTTTATTTGTTAAGATTGTATAATTTGTCATGTTTGTATATTAATGGACATTAATTAGTTGATAAATTAGGAAATGTTATTTGATATTTTGATGTAATTTACATTAGTGAGTTGTAATTTTTATACTGGGGTTATTAATAATCCAATTAAGATAGAAGATATCTTTCATAAGGAAAGTATTACTGTAAAACCTGTATATATGTACCCTATTAGGACAGTTGTGCACTATAAGTTCCCTATTACGACTGTTGATTGTCATTGAACATCATCAAATTGGTTTCTCAGGTCAGATGGTTAAAATCACTTGACCATCACAGCCTTGCGGATGCAAATTTTGATTGGTGTACAAAGAAAAGAAAAAGTTTTTAATTAGGATCGAAAGTTGATGGTCATTTAGCATCATCAAGTTGGTTCCTTAGGTCAAATGGTTAAAAATCAACCATCACAGCCGTGCCGTGCAGATGCAAATTCTTGACCTGAACTTTAAAATACTCCATGTGAGGAAGTTATCCATTAAAGTGGCTTATTGGAAACTGGTAACAGTGGTTTTAGCCACAATGCAAGTTTGTGCTGGAAATATATTTGAAGGAGGATCATTCTGGGCCTTTCTACACCAAAATAAAGCCCTATATTAAAAGTGACCAATTGATGATCTAAATGTTGTTTGTGTAGCTCAATCAATCAAATGCACAAGATTAAGATAAGGGCAACTTAACTTTAAATTACCAGAATGGTTTGTTTGGCATATATTAAAATAGGATGAAACCCTCGATACTATTTGTTTATGTTTCCTATAAGAAAATTAATATTAGTTAAAAAGTTGTTTCTATATATTTTCTTTATATTTGGTATGAGTCATAAGGTGAAACTATGATAAAAGGACATCTAAAATATCAAAGGAATTTTACCTTACTTATCATTTAGCCATCCAGGGTGAACAATAAATGTACAGTTGACAATAGGTTACGATAAATTAATTAAATATTATTTCAAGTTTGATAAATTGCAGCCGTTAAGTGATTAATTCATTTTTCAGGTATTTGACCATTTTAAATACTTCCCAAAATCTCTTGCATGATTCACTCGACTCGTATTGTTACTGATAAATTATGTAGAAATATTTATGCGAAAACTTGAAAAATCAAATCAAATCAAAGCGTAATTTATATACAGCTGTCAGCATTTAGAAATATTTCATTGTAAGATCTTTTGTTATAATTTTGGGTCCCTCGTTTCGAACACTTGTGAGATACCTAAGTAACCAAGCCCCACGTAAACGCTATGTCTGAGGCATGCAAAGAAAATATCATAGCTTTGAAAATATATTTTCAAACTTGTCATACGTACAAAAGAACTGATATATTTAATTTTTTTCAAAGTACGGACCACCGGTAGAAAATTTTTGATGTATAGTGCGATTCTGACAGGTTCTCGACTCACCTGAATAAGTAACGATTAAATATAATAGTTTTAAAGATAGGGGATATTTGATTTGGAATGATATATGTATCGCTTATTATAATATATGTCGGTGATTTTATATTTAGTGAAATTTATTGATAGAATTATCACCTTAAATGTGCATATTTAGAAAAATGGCCCTTCCCCTTATCTTGCTCAATCGTAAAGCAGACTGACGGAGGTTAAAACCAGACGCCATTCAAGATTTCAGCTTTAAAAGGCGTTAAATTTTCGGATTTTCTTGGGTTTAAACATGAAACAATTTACAAGTGTTTATGTCTTTTAATAAAATCTTATTCATATAAATAATATAGAGAATCACAAAAGCGCAGTGGAGTTATATCGTAATTCCCTTTAAGATATAAACATAAATACGCTTCCTTGAATAAGCCCTCATCTCCTAAAGAATTGGGTAGAAGATGATACCTTGTTTTTAAACATCAAAGGGTGTTTGACTGAGTCATGTATTTAAGATATGTAATAATTTCAGGTTGTTATAGTTTTCATATCAGATATCAGTTTTGTTATAATATAATGAAAAAATACCTTAAGGCCTTAAGGCAGATAAGTATGAATTTGAATTAGGATTTTCATATAAATGATGTTGATTTTTTTTTTTTTTTTTTGGGGTGGGGGGGTTCTATGTTTAAAAGTATTTAAAGCACCATTTCTTGCTGGTATTTTCAGACATTTATAGAAAATAATCAGTGATTTATACTGATAATTTTGTTAAAATGATGATTGACCAATCAAATTGCTGATGAATAATTGTTAAAAATTTTATAGGTCATTATTAAGAAGAGTTAAATATAAGTTTTCAATACGCAAGATTTAAGGGAGCTTAAAACATAAAAGCGAATGAATTTTACGATGTTGAAATTTATATATCTAATTGTCCATTTTATTGTCCAACTTTAAAAAGAGGGATAGACTATGATTTAGGATATTATGCAATTATATAAATTTCTTTTATAAATAATTTGATGATTTTAATCCTTTTTAAGTCCAAAAAATTGATGGCAACTTGTTAAACCACATACTTATATTTTTATTTTTCTGACCTTAACAAAGGTTTTGATAATAGCTTCATATGTGTCCATTGTTCGACGGACAGGCGGAACAGTCGAATCGGCTAATTGGGGTTTTTTTCATTTTTTTTCCTCTGTGTATTGATAATATGATAGAATTGTTATGAAAAAAAATTGCCACTTTTATATTGTCATTACATTATTGTTGTATATAATTTAAGTTTTGTGTGAAGACTGAATGACCATTGGGCGGTTTTCGGCCACAAATTAGTTTGAAAACGTTTTTATATAAAAGCCCCCCACCTGTGTAAACAGAAAAAAATATGGGAACATTAAATTGAAATTGGATAGATTTATGAATTAAAACTGAATCTTCTTTCCAAATAGAGAAATAAAGTGACAGTAATGACTGGATGAAATTCTTTTATTGTTGACATTGTTGCCAAAGAGATGGTTTCAAAAGCACATAGTCTTTAATGAATGTCTTATATCATA